TTAATAATCTAAGAAATTATGGTTTAAAAATACATTAATACTATATGTAGGACCATGTGCATTAGGCAACATCAATATGAAAAATCTCTCTTTTGGATGTCATTCCATCCTATTTCACCCTGTATCTGTACAGAAAAAAAGTTTTGATACCCATGGTGCCCCCTCTATGAAAGAGGATGCAGATATATTTTAGATAGATCTCCCTGGCATAGCTCTGGGAAGCGGGAAAATACCACCTCTGAGTAAACAGTATTCCTTCCTCTGCCTCAGATCTTTTCTTCCCAGTAGGACAATAGGGCTACTGCCCCAAATCATCAGCTCCAGGCCTGTTCTCATCCCTTCCCTTTGGACCTTGCAGGGAATTTGGCAGCTGCACTCATTTACCTTAACATTTATCAGGCCTCAGGAAGGATACAAATGTGTTAAGCTTTGTGCAACAGAGTCCTGACTTACATTCCATATTGTGACTAGGAAGAATTGTAAAATAAGCAATATAATTTTATACCATTCTGTGCATGGCCCACAAATTACAGGAGGTGGAATAATATAAAGGGTAATTTGTGTCCAAGACTTCAATTATAGGTGTGTGAGAAAACAATAACTGATGGGAATCTCAAATGCAGATCAGATGGCATAGTTTTATTTTAAAATGATAAATACTTTCAGATCCAAGTGCAATTAGTAGTGAAAATGTCACAGTTTTACTCTGTACGTTTGTTAATATGGCTGGTGTAACTCATTTAGGAGATGCCTTCAGTGTAGAGTCCTGCACTACTACTACTATATATTATAACCAAAAATGCAGTACTTACACACGTATATAAAATGTACACAGAGACAACATTGCCAAACAGCCTTTTGGGACAGTTTAAAAGAATATCATTAATTTTTACTGTATACTTACTCTTCTGGCTCAGTTCCAGCACTGGCTTTCTGTAAAAATCATTTCAAGTATAGAATTATGCTATTTGCTTGCAGCAACATCACAGGAACAGTAGTGAGCCATATGTTGCTACTTAGCAACTTGGTCTGTAAGTCCCAAAGCAAGTACTGATTTGAAAATTGAACAGAAATGATAATTATTGTTGAGGGATGCTGTGAGGCAACTTGTCTTGGATTACCAAACTATGCAGATGTTTGATGTTATATAGCAAAAGGAACAAAATTATATTTTTTCCTGTCCAATGGCTGAGCTTTTATGTTAGCCTAAAGGGAATAAATTGATTAAAACCCATAAAATAATATAAGGTGATGTTTTTCTGGATATGAACACTTTGGAGTAAACAGAAGGAACTGAGGAGCTTTTCATCATGTGTCAGGATCCCAGCAATCCTGCCTCTATGGTCACCTAATCCTGAAGATAGCCAAGTGGAAACCCCTTGGTCCTTGCTGTTACATACCATGACTCAGTTTGCCAACCCATTTCCCAAAAAAGCTATGTCAGAGTCTGAAATGAGAAAATGATGATCTTGTCTGACTCAGTCAGCATGACCAGAGCTTGAATAAAGCTTTCTCATAGGACTATGTACCTCCTTACATGTGGGATTCATATTTTAGTTAACAGATGTGAATGCATGAAAAAAAGCAGAGTAATTAATTCACTCCTCATTCTAAGAGGATTCAACTCCTATCTCTGATCTTGTGAGGGAATAGCCAAGTTATTAAGGGTGGGAAGGAGCCTGGATTCCTCTCACTGACGTCATGCAATGGCAAGACTCATGACCATGTGGTGCAAAATAGACATAGGACAAAATTATGATTAGAGCAACTCTGCTGTCATCTGAGACAGAACATTTCCTCCTCTCTTTTTATGGCATTGTGTGTTTTACATCCAGTAACAGTGACAGGAAAATGAACTAACAGTTCTAAAATCATGGTCAGAAAATACAATTGCATCCTTTACTCTTCCTTTACTGTTCCTCTCCCTAGCCCTGTAACCTACACAGTCTTTCATGCTTTGTTATCAGAGCAGGAAATACTGTATTTTTTTCCAGTTTTAATCACCAGACTGGATCTTGAAATGGTAGTCAGTTCACCAGTTTTGGCTGACCACCAAATGCTTATGCCCAAGAAAGGAACATTTCCCCTTTATAGTCAGTGAAGACCTCACAGATACTGTCAATGAAGAGTTGTTTAGCTGCTTTGAGGAACGACTAGCAGCTGTCTGTGTCAGGAACAGGTTTGGGAAGGCTCCTCGCAAAGTCGCAGGTTCTTGATGAAACATGAGAGGCAGGTTTTGCATCACACCCCATATTCCTGCTCTCAGTGAAGTTGTTTTGTCTCCTTTTTTTTCTTCCCCCCCCCCCTTTTTTTTTTTCTTTTTTCAAATACTGTTATTATTACAGGCTTTCACATATGCTCCAGCCCACAGAGAGCTGGAACACCTCTTCTGTGAAGGCAGGAAGGCGGGCTAAAAATGCTGGGGTTTTTCAGCTTGGAAAAGAGAAGGCTCCAGGGAGATCTTAGAGCAGCTTTCCAGCACCTAAAAGGAGCCAACAAGAAAGCTGGAGAGAGACTTTTTACAACAGCCTGCAGTGATAGCTCAAGGAGGAATGGCCTTAAGCTGAAGGAGGATAGGTTTAGATTAGACATTAGGAAGATATTCTTTGCTGTAAGGGCAGTGAGGCACTGGCACAGGTTGCCCAGAGAGGCTGTGGACTTCACATAACTGGAAGTGTTCAAGGCCAGGCTGGGTGGGGCTCTGAGTAACCAGGGCTAGTGGAAGGTTCCCTGCCCATGACACGGGTGTTGATGATGCCTTGGGCATCATTGAACTCGATGATCTTTAAGGTCCTTTCCAACCCAGTCCTATGGACTGTGATTCTGTGTATTCACTTAAAACAACAGCAAGTGTAAGCACCAGGAGAAAAGGGAAAGGAGTCGTGACAGCCCAAGGCTGACAGGCACAAGAAGGCTGATTGACTGGTGCACACTTGGGAACAACTTAAAACACTCTGCCGGGCAATTGAGATGCTTCTTGCCACATGGATCCCCCAGCTAAGGACAGAGAGGTTGCCTTTGGGTTTTGAACTCTACCTGGGAGCCAGACACCCCAGAGTTCAGCTTTGCCATTGTCAGATTTTAAGCCTATAAGCCTTTTCTTGGTTCCAACCCTTAGTAAGAATTCAGGGTTTTTTGACATCTTTGAATTTGGAAATGTCACATTTGATAGATTTTTTTCCCTTGAAGACAAAGTCATTTGCATTTAAAATACCTAGGCCTGGCTCTTTAAAGGTACTTTAAGAACCTTATTTTCACTGCAACCAGTGAGTGTTAGATGCATAAATATATCTGAGAATCTGGGCCTTGTTAGCACATGTAGAAACCGCATAAAAGATTAAAACTTATACTCTTAATTTTTCAATATGCCATTTAAATTATTTAAACTACATGCATACTCAGTACAAAAATATCAACAGAAGAAAAATAATTCTGATGTATAATGTGGATTTGCAATTCTTTATTCAAAACTATTTAAGACAGACATAATGATTCTCTGAAAGGTAGCAGCTGCCTGATAACAGCAATCATTCAGAGAGTTTGTATTTCTACTGTTTCAAACAAATTCAATTAGCCCTTGCACTTCAAAACCCTTAAGGCAAAAATGAGATGATACTAGGCTGCTTTAATCTAATAGTAATACTAAAACTTGTCAGGACAGTTTTTGGATTAATGGTTAGAGAAAAATTAATAATATAATTTTTCATTTTTTAATCAAACAGTTCTATTCTAAACTACCTCTGGATCTTGGAGGGTTCTTAGCTGAATAAGTTCAATCATGCACAGTTCCTAAATACCAAGTACACTATTGGTGTCTGAAGGTATTTCAGAGTGACTTCAACAGAAAGCTGGGAAGCAACATGGTGGAACACTTTAAAGATGATCTTTTTGATTGAATCATGTACTCCTCTCACATAAACTCCTGCTTCCCTGCCCCAGATGAACCCGTGTACCTGAAGAACACTACTTCATTAAGACATTTAGTTTTGAATGCACACTTTCCAAAGCTGTTGATTCCTAAGTTACATCCAGCATCTCTGAACATGATTACTATTCATTCAAATTTATTTCCCACCCAATGAGAGTTTTACACATAAACCTCCTGGTTCTGTCAGGCTAGACACTGCTGGCCTGAAATATTGCATAACATAGACCACAAGTCTGGTTATTCATGGCAATTTCTGACACAATCTAACTGATCTGCAGCACTATTCCCACCACTTACTGGTGCAAAGTTGAACTGAAACACGTGAAGTAAATTAAGAATTCCCCCCTACATATAGATGTAGTAACAGGTAGTCAACCCAAAACTTGCAAAACTGTTTTTGCTTTCAAGGAGTAATTAAAATTTGCAATTCTTAGAAATCTATAGGATCTTTGAGGTCAAGTGGAAAGGTAGAAGATTTTTTATTATGCATCCAGTATCAAAATTTAGTGTGTGTGGTTCCTCAAAAGGAAAAGGGCTCAAAAATAGCTTTAAAGAATACACATCACATTAAGCCTTTTGGCCTGTAAACTACGGGAGGCTAAGTCATTGCCTTAACCCCACTGCTAATTGTGTAATAATAGCAACATTCCTCAGACATAGGATTAGTGTTAAAAATGCAATTCCTCAACTGTTCTATGAGCGATAATTAAATCTATTTGTGACATGTATAGCTTATAATGATTAACTTGTCTGCAGTCAGATAAACAAATAACCTGCACCTGTAAAGACTTTATTTCCTGAAGGTAAAACAACTGTTTAGGAAAGATCATGCTGGCAAAACAGCTGCTTGCATTCTGGAGAGGAAACAAGGTAGTATCTTTCAACAAACGCCAACTCTGGTGTTTTATCAGCTCTATCTCATTAACTGGAAACAAGGCTTAAATGCTTTGTTTATAAATTATGATTATTCCTGATTGCAGCAGTTACTGATAGTGCCGCTCATTTGCAATGCAACTCTTTGAATTTTTTTAATTACAATTTGAAACAAGGCAGAGAAGATTAATTAACCCACCTGGCTGGCTGGCACGTAGTCCTGGCTTGGTTCTGTCATACTCATATACATGTTCTCACCGTCAAACTGCAAAGGAAATAATAGTAAACATTCAGCAAACTTGATTTTTTAGCATTGACTGAAAAAAACTGTTGCTATAAAATAATATTACAGCCTGGTTTTAGAGACTTGTAATTGCATGTGTGCATCTTGTCTTTGATGTTCCTGTTGTCATCCTTATTGACCCTGGATGTCAGTGATTTGGAGTAATTAGCGCTCTAGTAATTACAGCTAGCAAGGAAGAAATGAATGGTTTCCTTTCATCTGCAATCTGTTTTAAAACAAAATGCCTCATTTTGTGCTCCATGTATACATATTGCTGTTGGTTGCAATGAAGTACTAAGTGAATTGCACACTTACTGAGAAAACGAAGATGAGAATAGAATCTGCACTAAAATGCATCTTAATGGATTCCAACTTTAGCTTCTGAACAGAACAAGAGTTGAAATTTCAAAACAAATTAAACCCCCTCCAACTGAAATGTTCCCATATCAGAAAGTAGGAAATACATTTCCAGACAGCTTTCAGACATCTGAATGTATGAAAGAGTATACCTCCTGTCCGTATGGTGTAAGAGGATAGTTTGCTTGATGTGTGAAAAAAGTAAACATTCATAATCAGAACTGCAAAAATAACCATCTGTAAATGATAAATACCATTCCTGGAAATATATACAATATAAAAAAAGCTTCTTTCCTTTTTTTTCCTTCTCTTTTTTTTTCTCTTCTCAACTGCAGTTAAGAAGTAACGGAAATGTCATAGAAAGGAGTTGATTAAAATCTGAAGGTCTAGATGGAGAAAAACTGTCAGATCTGAAGCCTCATCCTGTACCAGCACAAAGAAGTGTAAAACTACTGATTTCTTACATAGCCTGGAAAATGTCCCCACAGAACTCTCGTCACACCCACTCAAGTGGCAGTGCCAACAGGGTGATGATAGTCCCAGTGTCTGCTCAGGAGCTGGGGAAAATCTTTTCAAACCTTTTAAGCAGAAATGAACAACAGCAGGAATTCCTATCTCCAGTCATCAACCACAAATTTCCAGCTGTTACGAGGTCTGTTTGAAATAACTTGCACCTGACCCCTTGTGTGAATGCCTAGAGTGACATATTTTGGACTTCAGCCATTGCTTTGCATGACACAGCAGCTTTTTTAAGAAGTCCCTACTACTGAGATTGCTCTGCTCCTACAGAAGGTGCCTGTGAAATACCCCATGGACGTTTCTTGATCAGTGTTGAGCTTCTGGGGATATTCTACCTGCAAGGTGAAGTATATTCAACTACCCTGAGGTGGCAAAGTTAAACTGTGTCGTTGGCAGATTGGTCTACCAATTTTTGCTGAGGTGTCTGAAAAGGTTTCGGCTTCCAGCTGTTCATCTTCTTTCTCTGCCAGAGGCTACAAGGCTTGTAACAGCAGCAGTAACGTGAACAAGTGCCAGCTCCTGGCACAGCAGCTGATGGTCTGCCCTTCCTGGCCAGAGATATTTAATAGTCACAAACTATCTGTCAGAAGTACTAGTTTCATGGGAAGGAAAAGGATTATGCCACAGACACAGATCTGCCATAAGGAATAGAGTATTTCCAAATTTTGACAGAATAGAGATAGTTAGATTAGATCACAAAATAGAGATTGATGCTTGCTCCTTTTTGTTTCTTGTTGACATGTACAATTTCTTTTAGCTTTCTCATTCAATAATGTTCTCATTTATAAGCATTCAAAGTAGAATTTTGGAGAAAAAAATTTAGTATCTGGATTGGAAAAAAACTGCATTGTTTCTTCTACTCAGATGGACAGGTGAAATTCTGAAGAGAGATTTCACAGCCAGTAGTTGGAAAGCAAGCACTCCAGTGCAAGGCCTACAGGAGCTCAACTTATTCAGCTTGTCACACAAAAGGCTGAAAGGTGCCTTGATCACTGTGATTGGTACTTACACCCTGGAAAGATGTCTGATAGCAAGATGTCAGCCTTCCTGACAGTGGTATAATGAGATCTAGTGTTGAGAAATGGGAGTTACAGAAAATCAGCCCTGAAATAAGATACAAGTTCCTACTTTAGGAGGTAATTAAGCATTATGTCAACAGCAAACTCGTCATTTCTCAGACATTTTAGAATGAGGTTTGATATCTTTTTTGGAACAGGTGCAGTCCATATCATATTTATAAGAAATCCTATGGACAAGATAGTTACATTTGCTGGTTATGAGAGTCCTATCTGCCCTGGAAACCATCATTCCTTGAGTCTCGTCTTTTGAATTTCCCTCGTTATCTTCATACATTTGTTGTGATACATTGCAAGCTTTGCTATAATTCAAATACTGTGTTGCATGTGTTTAGTTGCAGTGAATATGAAGAAATTTCTTTTCTGCCTACTGGCTAGATACAGTCAAGGATTATTTCAATTTATTTTGCCTTCCATAATTCATGAGACTATGATTTAAGAATCTTTATGATGTATACTACTCTTTCATATAATTCTCTCCTTTGAATGTTTGGTCATCTGTCCTTGCTCCCAAGCTTACAATCACCAAATCTGCATTCTTTGGATAATTTCCCTAAGGTATTTTTCCATGAATACTGAAATTTTTATAATTCTGTGTGTTGTTCTTGGATTATCTCCCTACCTAATGAGTGCCTTGCTATTAGTGGTCCCCCTGGTATGATAGGATATTGAATCTCAGTCTCTCCTGTTTGTTGCTTGTGGCCCTCTTTTAGCTGAGAAATATTTATTTTTTTTCCCATGGTCTGTGGGCTTGTTTCAGAGAAACCAAAACAGAAAACATATACGTAAATTTAAATTTTGTGGATTTTTGACCTCACATGAGAAATGACCTTCTGCAACATTGTGGATTAATTTGTAAGGGTAAATTTTTAGAAACTATATTGATGCATAATGTTTGTAAAATATGAGTGACCTGTTAACATCTAAAAATACCCATCAGCTTTCTGCTTTGTTACTTAATTTCTTCAATATTCAAGCATGGAGTTTAGTCACTGCAATATTTAGCATCTGCTTGTCAGAAGTATATGCAAGAGATTGTGTAATAGGTTATATAGGTCAGCAAGATTTGATGGGATGTGTATTTTTTATAGTGTTTATATATGCAGATTGTGGACTGTAATGCATCAGCTGACAATAACACTCTTGCCACACTAGTATTTGTACTACATTTACCACTGTTTAAATTATTATCTGCCCTCAGTCCTCATGGCTATTTGGCAGTTCCTAAAACTTTGGATATGAGCCTGAAAAACGCCCATAAACTCAAAGGGTGAAGCATCATGCATTTTGTACAGCAGGTATTGCCAGGAGATACCTCCTTCGCATTCTCAATGTTTACTAAAATGTTTAAAATATGATCTTTGTATACCAGAATAAAACAAAATATTTACTGCAATGCTGATTTGTTTATTCATCATCCCCTTTCCCAACTACCAAAGTAGTGCAAAATAGAGATGACCTGTACATCCAGCCAAAAAAAATGGTACACAAGCTTTCAAAGTTCAGAAGAGCTGATGCAGCACAGATACAATGCTCACCTTGCCCAAATGTGATAATCCCACATCAAAACAATAAACTGAGGAAAAAACGCCAACAATTGGATCAACTGGAAAGTTCTATTAATATGTTTTTTCCATCTGTTTAGAAGCTTCCAAAACATGCACCTAAACCCCAGAAATGAATATTGAATATTGAATCATTTCACTTTTAATACACTCCTTTGTAATGTGCAGGCTCTGCAGCATGGCACCTCTCAACAACTCTCCACCTGGACACCTTAATTCATGCTACATCCACCTGGAATTCAGCTTTACAAGTAAAGGGATGCATGCAACAGCAGGTCAAGCAACTTATCTGGGTCAGAGTGAGTCTAAAGATGAGCAGATATGGCTCAAAGTTGTCTTCAGCTACCAGAGTTTTCTTCCTCTACTCTATGCCTCCCAAAATTTCTTATTGTACTCATCATTCTCACGTTGGCAATCTCAGTTTGTAGTCCCTAAGCTTTCCTGCCACTCACAGTGCTTGATTTCAAGAAAAGAAACAGCACAAGCATCACTTAACCCATGGATGATTCATCCCAACAGAACAGATGAAACACAAAGGCAGGCAGCTAAATGAACTGTCTTTTATGAACCTATGTATGATGCATATATATCATATGACATTTCATATAAAGGTTTTCCAATGTGTCTCCAAGATCCCCCAGTACCATTAAGAGCAGATTTCAAAATCTTTCATTTTAATCTATTAAATGTGAATGCTAATACAATATTCTGGTGTGTGATAATAACTACTCTTGACAACATTTCTTTTCACATTAAAGTGTAACTGCATGAGAAGTTTGGGTGAGAGCAAACGAAGAATATGACTGCATTGTAATATGAAAAGAAATATAACTGGGAGCTAGTTCTAATATAAATTCAGGATTGCATAATATTTTTTATTTAAATTATTATTATAAATAGAACATACAGACCACACTATGGCATGGCCAGTTAGAAGCTCCCTCAGAATGACCCCTTGTAAGAGAAGTTGTAATGTTCAAACACCAATACGCACAAAAAACCCAACTGCTGTTATTAATTTAAATTGTTATACAATTTACTCATAGAAGTTAGGGACGTAATTACATAAACACTGGCTGACTGTAACTGATGCAAGAGCTATGAGAGAGTTTACCTAATGCCTAGAGTGGTAAAGGTGTTTTAAGGGATCCAAGGCTGACTCCTGCCTTCCATTAACATGGTATCATACCAGAGTCACACAAAGTACAGCCAAGAAGCCTGTTTTCATCTTCCCTTTTAAATTGTGGCAAACTTTTTCAGCATTTTTAACAGTGATTATAAAGTAGCAAAGCTTGCAAGAATAGTATTTTTAAAAATTCATTCTTAATGAACTTTAAATTAAAAACACAGGATGTGGACTATGTCACAAAAATACTATAAACAAGTTGAACAGACAAAAAAAAATTCTCATGGTGACATAAATGTAGAGAATGTTTATTTGATCACGTATATAGAAAGAAAACTT